AAAACTAAATAAATAAACAAACAAATATATAAAATATATATGCAACACTGTAATTTACAACAGTGCTAGGTAGGCCTTCAAATACAGTGCTACCTTCTACACTATTGTTTTGATGAGCTAATTAAATTCCTCCGTTTTCTGCTCCAGCCGTGGAGGTACATTGGAAGCTTATTAAAAACATGTAGGCTACGTAAACCAGCAAAGATAAAAGCCATGGTAAGAGCTTACAGTAAAATGGCTCTTTAGCAGTCAAAATAGATTTTGTTCTTAAAGTATGTTTTAATGTTCTATATATTTTCATACTATGAAAAACATACAGTATGGAAATTGTGTTTCATAATTATAGACTTAAATGTATAAAACAACATAAGCCAAACAATTTCAAATTTAATGTCCATTACTATACTCATAGCATTTTTAGTTAGTGGCAGCTGGTGTGACCCCACTGGTTGTCATTTTAACCAGAAACAGTGACAGTCAACAGAAGCTGCCACATGAATGATGTCCACACTGAGCTTTAACAAGATTATAGGTGTCACTGGCAGTGGTGGGGAGGATTTTAATCACGATGCCTCTTTCCTCTTCATCACTGCACTCAGACTGCAGTGAAATTTCCTGCTGTCTTTATTTGAATATTAAAACTGAAAAACGATTACCTATCCACTGAACTTATCCGAATAGTTGAATATTTGGGTCCAACCCTAAAAATAAGGTACGTAGCCTATGGTACATGTGAAAGTGGGCTATAGATCATGGCAGATAACAGACAACATGATGCAGTGCCAGTGCTAGCTCAGCTGTTCTGATTCCAGTCTACCCATTCAGTCTTTTTAACTAATTTGTTTCTCATTTCTAATTTTTAACTAATTTGTTTCCTACATGAAACAATACAACAATTTTATTTATGTAGCACATTTAAATTCAAGTTAACCCAAGGTACTTTACATTCAAATGCCTGTGCAAACATTTACCCAGAACCCACATCCACCAACAGATGAAGACCACATTGTAGACAGACGCACAGGAGCTAATCACAACTCTGAGAAAACAAAAATGTTTTCGGTTTAGTTTTGAATGTGAACAAAGTATTGAGTGATGCCTGACTGTCAGTCACTTTACAGGTAAAAGGATCTTGCAGATGTTTTACATAAAAAAGACACGATCAGGTTATAAAATATGATGCATTGTTCAGGGTTAAACTGGCATCAGCAAAAGTAGCTCCAGAACCACCGACTGCATCATTAAGGCACTGTTTAAAAATGTATGCATTTAAATATAATTTATATATAATCATAAGAACAGTTCAAGAAGAAAATTAATTATATCTTAAGTGTGAGTATCTTTTGAACAGTGAAGGGCACAGTCTGCATATTGAAAACACGATAAGAAAAAGTTTGAATTCAGGACTTTGATAGCACACACACATTGGTTGTCAGTTCTTGGTGGGGACTCAGTATTGACTTGCTTTAATTTCCTGGAGACTTACCCTAGCCTAAGTTTTTAAACCAAATCATCTCCATAAAATTCAGTGACTATATGCTGGTCCCCACAAGGAAGGCTGAGCTCCCACAGTGTGAGTATGTAAATGGATTTTGGTGTTCACGCACCGTGGATGCATTAAGGAGAACACACATAGGATGTTGATGTTAAGCAGCGGCCCTTTGCCACAGCATGTTTGTTCCACTAGGTGGCAGAAACAGACAATGCTTGGAACTGTACCAACAGGAGAAGTGCTGTAGATGTCCTTTGACATCTCCAAAGGATTTGAATATTAATTAATGACTAATTTTAGGAGAAAGTGAATGAAAATGGAATAAAGTAATTAATACTTTGTAAAAGCCTGTTTCTACTTCATGTGGCGAGCAGAGTGACTCATCCACTGTTTGGTTTGTTATTGCTAGGTAACTGAAAAAGATGGCACCACTTAATTTTCTTTCACCTTCTGCCTTTACCTACTTTTCTAAATTTAATTTTCATAGCCTTCTGGTTGGCTCTGGCCTGATATCAGCCTTGTTCAACACAAAGAGAGAAATTATGGAAGCCAGAGATAACAGGACTTGGTAAGATTCAGAGTGACTTCCTGAAGGACTTCCATGGCTAATGGAGACGTAATGGAGCAGGCAGAGGAGTGGAGGGCAGCTTGTGTTCATTGCTTCTATAAATGAACAGCCATGCTCGGCAGGGCTCCTGTATTAGTCATCTCCATGTTCGAAGCAGGAAAAAAAAGTTTGAAACCTACAGTACCTCTCACAGTCACATCTCAGAGCAAAAGAAGGGAGTTATGCTCCTTAAGGTGTCTGTCAAAGCACAGATAATGTTGCCTGCCTGTACAGTCTAGATATGGTGACCAGGGTTTGGGAAGGAGTGAGCTGCTGCAGTGAGTTGCATCTAAAGAGCACTGGTTCTTGTCTCTGATTCTTCCAATGTAATTAAGCACATAGATAGACAATACTTTTGCTATACAGTGTCCATGACACATTTGCTCCTGCTTTTTTTTGTATGCTGACATGTGCATGATAAATAAATAAAAGAAGATTTTTGTCAGATGTGGGTGTGCAGACCTTCTGTTTTCTTTGGGCTCTCTAGAGTACCCCAGACCCACCTTTTTCTCCTAAATATTGCCTTTGGTTGAGTGCAGTGTTTATTACCTTCAGTTGGTTTATGCACATTTGTCATGTATGAATGCACCTGCATATTTATGAGTGCCTTGTACAATTTGTAGTCTGTAGCCTATGGACCAGTTTCCTCTATGAGTAGACTAGGTTAAACAAAACACACAGCAATAGCATGGATTTGTACCACAGAGATGTTACAAATAGCTTCATGATGTCATGGGTTGCAGGGAAAGAACAACAGTGTGTCTGGGATGAAAGAATTTCACGCTCTGCCAGCATGTTCATCAGACCCAGAGTCATGATTTCCTGGTGTTCATCTACTTTTTTTTTTCTACTGTTCGGGTGAAAATAATAAGGTCATAGCCACCAGACAGCTCACAAAGTCAGTGTTCGTGAGCCATTAAAGACTGGAACCTAGACAAAAGATATCAGACTGGTGTTTAATATGACACTGTTATTTACAGCACTGGACTCATATCCAGCATATCCACCTTATTTATCTGTCATTCAACTTCATTCTGCTGTAATCTAAATCAGCATCTTCAACATGTTTATCACTGCCATTATGTGTTATAATTGGAATAATGCTAATTATGAATCTGTCAGACCAGACACCAGGGGGTGCCTGGGTGAAAGAGGTGCTAGGATGGTCATTAATCTTCGATTACTAATCACCATTATTCATTTATTTAGCACTCACTGTAGCCTAATGTTACATCTCCACTGACTCAGGAAATGTTACCTCTAATTTGCTGTGCATCACACACACCAGCTGATGCAACTGAGTAGTTATCTGTTTAATTGCCTTGCCCTTCA